GGGTGACTCACGTCTCCAGGAGCTGCTTTGGGGGCTCCGGAGGCGGCGCCTGGGCGGCTGGGGGCGGCCTCCAGAGCCCTCGTTATTTTGGGGGGAGAACCGGGCGGTCCTAGGGCCCCGAGAGCCGGACTTTCCCACCTGCGCGCGGCCCGGACGGTCTTGGAGTTTTGGGGCGGCTTCGGGAAAGTTCCTGGGGCCCAGCTTTCTCCAGGCCCGTAGGGGTGGCGCCTGGACCTGCACCTCCCGCACCTGCAGTGGGTGAGGGGAGAGGGCGGCTGGAGCCGTTCCCAGGGATGGGCCCGTGGAGCAGGAACATTGAACATGATGCAAGGACCAGGCTGTTAATCCTTTACCTTCCAAGGTCGCTTGGCAAAGTCAGGAACCTCGCCAGTCACTGATCCGGTGCTTCGGACAGTTGGCAGGGCCTTTGGTGACACTTCCTCAATTGAACCCTGCATGCCAACCTTGCCAAGTCCTTCGTATGCATAAACTCTTTTAATCCTTGTAACACTTTGAGGTTGTAGTTCCCATTTTACAGATGAGAAAACTGAGACTGGGAGAGGTTAAGTACCTTGCCCAAAGTCACACAGCTCTGCATGTGGCAGGGCTGGGATTTGAACTCAGCTCGCTCTGGCTGCAGTCGGAACACTGCATGATACAGGTCTGCACTGCATACCCCAAGCAGGAGAAGGTGGAACCTGGCGCAGAAACCCATGCCCGGGGAATGAGATTTGTTCATGTTTGTTCAGTGCAGCAGAAGCTTTGCTGAGGCTCGCTGTGATGTGCCCGGCATTGAGGAGGAGGGAAAGGCAGAAGCCACAGCAGTGGTGGCCGTGGCTCGCGTGCTGCAGCACCACGCCATTCCGTGGAAAGGAGGTGCCAGCAGCCGTCCTGTGTCTGGCACATGTAGATGCCCCATGCAAGTTGGCTTCAGTGAATTAAATGGCCAGGGCTGAGGGGCTGGGCAGCACCTTGGGAACATGCCCAGAGTCTGTAAGTGCACCATCCATGTTGCATTGCTTCGGCCGTGTCCTTCTGGGCAAAGTCCAAGTAAGGGTTTCCCATATCCTGGACTCACAGGACAGGACATATACCTGGACATGGAATCCAATCCCATTTGATGCAGGAGCGCGCGCGCACACACACACACACACACACACACACACACACACACACTGGCCTTGCCAACACTAGCCACCTGGGGCCAGGGAGCTCACGACCTGTGAGGCCTCCTCTGAGGGTGAAAAAGTTCTTCCTGTGTTGAGCTGAGAGCTGTCCCTATGACTTTTTCTTTTAAATGTATCTTTCTTGACTTCAGAGAGGAAGGGAGAGAGAGATAGAAACATCAATGATGGGAGAGAATCATTGATCATCTGCCTCCTGCACACCCCCTACTGGGTTTCAAGTCTGCAAACTGGGCATGTGTCCTGACAGGAGTTGAACTGTGACCTCCTGTTTCATAGATCAATGCTCAACCGCAGAGCCACTGCAGCCAGGCCCCATGACTTCCTACTTTCAGGTTAGGCTCTTGACAACCCTCTGTGCTCTGTGATAGCCCCTCACCCTTCAGCCACCCTTTCAGGACAGTTCTGAAGTCGCCCATACATGACCCCGAATCCCCTCAGCCAGCTTCAGGCAGTCTGAGGCCAGAGCAAGCAGAAGGCACTGTTTCCTACTCTGAGAGGGGGCTGCAGATGTGGCAGCGGGGTGGGGGGTTAGGGGTGGGGAGGGTAGGGCTTTGGGAGCCCGGGAGTATCTGCGGGGTTCCCCTGCTTCTGAGTGGTCTCTCCTTTGCCCCCAGCTGTGAGGTGGAGCAGTGGGATTCAGATGAGCCCATCCCCAGGAAGGAGCTGGAGCGAGGAGTGGCCGGGGCACATGGCCTGCTTTGCCTCCTCACAGAGCAGGTGGACAGAAAGCTGCTGGACGCCGCAGGTGTGTGCCCTGGGCAGGGCTGGGAGGGCTCCGAGGCTCTCGGCCCATCAGCTGCTGCTGCTGGTTCCCCAGCAGGTGTGCAGTGGCCTCTGAGCTCTGAGGACGCTGGCTGTAGTCATTGGCCAGAGGGAGCGGTTGTGTGCAGCTGACCTCAGGCACATGCATTGCTCCTCTCTCCGGCCTGTGAATCCCTGGAGGGAGACCTCAGGAAGGCAGGTCCTGTGTGGAGGCAGCAGGGTGTGGGGGAGCATTCCAAGGCCTGGGCCCTCGTCCAGCCCTGCCACAACCTTGCTTTATGACCTCCAGCAAGGCCTTGCCCCTCTGGACCCATTTGGAACGTGCAGGAGGGTTTGAATCCTGAGGAAAGATAAAAACGATGCTTTTTCTGCCCAATAGGAGCCAATCTCAAAGTCATCAGCACAATGTCTGTGGGCGTCGACCACTTGGCTTTGGATGAAATCAAGAAGCGGTAAGTGCAGCTTGGGTTCTGCAAGGGGCCTGGGAGGTGAAGGGTGACTACCAGACAGGGAGGAAGAGGAGCTGGGTGTTTGTTTTCATTTCGTATTCCTAACCACTGAGTGAGACTCTGAGGTGGCTGATGATGAAATCTGTCTATGAGCACAGGCCAGTTAAAATAAGCCAGGAAGTTAGAAACAGAGGGTAAATATCTGACCAAGTAGCACCCTTTTACATTCCTTATCTTTTTTGGTCCCCATAATAACCCCTTGATGTAGAAAGGTTAAGTGTTGTTATTTCTCTGTTTAGATGAGGAAATTCAGAAAGGTTAAGTAGTTACTTGCCCAGACTTTGGACCCTGATCTCCCATCTTCATATCCTTCCCACAGTGGGAGATGATTAAAATGGAATAACGGGATGATGACCATTCCTGCGTGCTCATTTGCAGCTCTGAGCTCCCCGACAGGCAGCGCCAAGAGGGAACAGAGCAGCAGCATGGAAATGTCCCAGTCATAGGAACTGGCCAGGGTGCTGGAGGCCGGTGTTACAACCAGATGTTTGATTTGTAGTGGGATCCGTGTGGGCTACACCCCAGATGTCCTGACAGACGCCACCGCGGAACTCGCTGTCTCCCTGCTGCTCACCACCAGTCGCCGGCTGCCGGAGGCCATTGAGGAAGTGAAGAAGTGAGTGGACACCTGGGTCACCTGGTGGGAAAGTTGGATCTGCTCAGCAGCTGGCTCCTGAGCACCCAGGGACACCCTGGCCCAGATGTGATCCCTGTCCCCAGATGTGCCACATCTAGTGAAGGGGGTAGACTAACCCAAAATACTAAAGTACAAGCCAGAGCTGAAATAAACAGGGCCTGAAGGCAAATTGTGAGAGAAGAGGATAAGGGAGGTGAGGGGGTGAGGGGAGGAGTGTGGATCAGGGAAGGCTTCCTGGAGGAAGCAGCAGGTGGGTGTCCTCTGGAGTGTGCAGAGCAGGTCCGCCACTCCTCACTCACAGTCAGAAATGCAAAAGCTCTGAAAACTGAAGGTTGTCTCATAAGTCTTCTGGCAGCAAAACTTGACTGGAACTAACAGGAGGCTGCTCATGGCTTCAATTCCTCCTAGTCAGTGTGAACGTGCATGTTTTGCTGCAGATATGCAGGGTGCTTGCCACAGTGTGCTGCCCACTGAGGTGGGCATGTAAAGTATAGCATATGTATGCACCAGGCTACCTTGCTGAAACCTGGAAAATTCTGAAATCTGGCCTGAGGGTTTCAGATCAGGGGTTTGAGTCTGTATATCCCGAGTGGGGAAGGCATCCAGGTGCAGGGACCAACCTGAGCAGATGCAGGCCCTCGGAGAATGGACGGGGAGCGTGGCTCCAGGCAGGGATGTGATGGGGCAGAGCTGGACAGCACCGGGGCTGATTAGGCCCAGTGCTGAAAATGCCACTCGCCCTTCTGTCTAGGGAGTCCGTGTCTACAATGGAGATGACCCAAGACAGGCACCGTACCCGTCCACCCAGGGCAGTGGGTGGGCCTGTGGCTTTCCGTTTGATTGGTTCCCGGGGCGCTGAGAATACTGTTTTTGGAGTCCCAGATGCTGAGTTTGCAACCTGCTGCTCCCAGCTCTGCCCTGGCTGCGTGACCTCAGGCAGGTCACCCTTTCTGGTCTTAGTTTCTCCATCTGCTAAATTGGATGAGAACTTTGCAGGCCCCTTCCAGCCTCGGAAGAGTCATTCCTGCTGCCTGTCCACAGGGCTGAGTGGCTGTGGGTGCGGCTCATGCCACTCAGTCCTTTGACCTAGAGGGCAGGGCCTGTGCCTTGGAGCACGGCCCCTGCCCAGGGCTGCTGGGTCTGTGAGTTTGCAGTCGCCCTTGCCTTCACCCGAGGCCAGGGCCTCTCACTCTCGCCGCCTCCCTCCCGCAGTGGTGGCTGGACCGCGTGGAAGCCCCTGTGGATGTGTGGCTACGGCCTCACGAAGAGCACCGTGGGCATCATCGGGCTGGGGCGCATAGGTGAGGCCCCTCCCTACCCCCTGGCCCACCCCGGCTCACAGGGTTGAGTTTGAGTCTCCGGCACTAGGGGTCTGGATGCTGACAACCCTTCTTTGGAAAGGGTTGCCCTCACTGAGTGGCATTAGTGCACTTTGCACGCAGTGGGGCTATCTCTGATGAGAAGACACAGCTTCATAAAACACAGGCAAAAACAAACTAAAAAGAAACACAGGACTTCCTTAAGGACTTGCTCGGTGATAGAAGCAGGGTGTTGGGGCCAGGGCTCTTCATGACTGCAGCTCCGTACAGAACAGATGAGAGAGGCTGGCTGGGTCGGGGCCGTAGGTTTTCTGTGGGGGAGCCCGTGCTCCCCAAGGCCTGAGTTCTGGCTCATAAAGCCTTGCCGTGGGCACCAGCGGGTCCCGTGGGCAGAGCTGTTTTTCCGCCATTGGCCCCATTTGGAGAAGCCTGGCAGGAAGGCTTACGTTTAGCCAGGCAGCTGCCAGTGGTTGTCTGGCATCCAACTTGGTACAGAGATGAGAGAGGGAGAGTGTGGATGAACTGGCCTGCTGGCAGCCCTGCCTCTTACTTGGAGGAGGAACCCACCAGCTTTGGGGCATATGCTGAGTCTGAACATCCAACTGTCTCAGGAGCAGCATCTGTGAAAGGCCTGCTAGTTTGGGGCAGGCTGGCAGTGGTGGTGTCACCCAAAAGTCAACTGAGGTCTGGGGCTTCATTCACAGAAGCAGAGGGTCCAGAAGGACGGAAGGGGTCCCAGGTCCACTTCTCAGGGAAGGTTAGCAGATGGACGTCAGGTGGCTGGACACCATGTGAGGACAGCATAAGTCACAGAGGAGCTGTGGTGCTGCCTCCAGATCTGAAGGGCTATCAGACCCCTCAGGGCAGTGTGGGCTGGCTGGGGGCTGGTGACACTGAGGCAGTTAACGTGGGGACTGTGCTAATGAAAGGATCTGCCCCTGCCCCCATGGGCTCCCTGTCCCTGGAGCTGCTGGGTGCTGCCACTGCCCTTGGGAGGGGAGTGGGGGGTTGGGGACAAGCCATGACTCTGACTTCTTGTCTCAGGCCAGGCCATTGCTCGGCGACTGAAGCCATTTGGTGTCCAGAGATTTCTATACTCAGGGCGCCAGCCCAAGCCTCAGGAAGCAGCAGAATTCCAGGCAGAGTTTGGTGAGTCAAGCATTGATTTGCACAGGAGCCCGTCTGTGCTCGGTGAGAGGGTTCCCCTGTTTCTGTAACGGCAGCTTTGGCAGGCGAACACAGGCCCTCCAGGTGTGTCCAGGGCCTGCAGTCCCTCAGGGGTCATCTGATCTACCTGCCTCTGGATGCAGCCCACTCAGGGAGCACAGAGACTTGCCCAGGCCAGCAGTGAGCTCTCTCAGGGCCAGGAGAGCGCTCCAGGTCTGTCCTGAGTGCCTGGTCTCCATTGCACATGGGATGGGCAGAGCAGCAGGGGCGATGGCAGCGGGAAGGAGCTGCTGGGAGCTTTCACTCCGTCTCCTTACACAGCTGAGCATTACTGCCCCCACCCAGCCTGTGTCCAGGCGGATCCAGCCCGGCAGGGTGCACAGCATGGGGTGCAGAGAGCAGGCTGAACCTCAGCCATTCCTCACCCCGTGGCACAGAGGACCCTGCAGCTGGTGAAGCCCAAGCGGCCCAGATCCCACTGGGTGACTTTGGACAAGCCTCTGCCCCTCTCTGACCTCAGCGTCCCCATCTGTTAGACCAGGGAGCTGGATGAATAGTGTAAGACCCCCGGGTCCCACGAGTGGCTGTTGACTGTACAGTTAGGAGTCGTGCAGGTAGCGGCAAGGCCTTCAGGAAGCATCTTGGGAGTTTCCATCATCGGGGGGCGGGGGGGCCTGGCCTCCTACCGTCTTGCTCTTCGTAACTGGGACTCGCCTCTGATGGAGCTGTGCCTCCCCAGTGCCCACCTCCCAGCTGGCTGCTGAGGCCGATTTCATCGTTGTGACCTGCTCCTTAACGCCTGAAACCAAGGGCCTCTGCAACAAGGACTTCTTCCGGCTGATGAAGAAAACAGCCGTGCTGGTCAACATCAGCAGGTACCCGGGCACCGACACGCTGGGTCACGGGCAGGCCCAGAGAGGGGCTCCCTGCTGCTGTGAGCTGAGGCTTTTCTCCCCCGAGGGTTGTTGAGGAGACCTCAGGCTGAGCTTGCCACGCTCCATAAACCAAGCAGCCAACTCAGAAATACAGTCAAGGCCACAAGTAAGTACCCAGGCCAAGAGGAAGGTCCACGAGAGCAGGGCCTGGCTGGTTCCCAGCAGTGCCGCCGCCTGGCTCAGGGCCAGGCACATCGTAGCGTTGGTTTAGGGAGTGAAGACATCATGGTATCGAGTTCCCAAGTACCCTTGGGCAGCCCCTGTTCCTCTGAACCACAGAGGGTTGGACTTGATGATTTAACAGCCTTCGGAGGCCGACCTCCCATTGCACTGAGCCTGGGTCTGTGTGAGTCAGTGACATCTTGAAACTTCATGCTTCTGGGGACACAGACCCAAAACTCAAGTGGTCTTGGTTCCTCAAAATGTCCCCAGGTGCCTTCAGGCCACTGGGCATGTAATAGGGGCAGACCTTCCCTCTCTGCCTCTCCAAACCCTTCCTAGCTGGTACCCTTTGAACCTGCTTAAATCAGTCTGGAAGCAAACAAAGGTGAGGGAAGGGGTTGGATGGGGTCACCCCCCAGGGCTAATGTTTAGCTACAGAGGTGGTGATCTGGAGGTGAAGTGAACACAGGGCTCACGCTGATGGCAGAGTCTCATGGCTTCCATCTGCTGAGCCCCCACATGGACCCAGGACTGTGCAGGCTGCTGTTATTATTGCACAAGTGTTACTTAGTGCACAATATGGCATATTACTTGGTGGTTCAGTGGCAGGAAGGAAGGTTGCTCACTGGAATGGGTGTGCTTAGGTGGATCCCGTCTCTGCTCTTAGTTAGTCAGGTGTCTGATGGCAGAGCACAGTGGGTGGTTGGGGGAGCACCCAGATCAGAACACCTGGGTGGGGCCCCGTTCATGCAGCAGTGATGTCAGTGAGCTGTAGCCTCCAGCACTCCTGGGGTTAGGTTCCCCTTATTACGGAGGAGGAACTGGAGACAGAGAATTTGAGACACTTGCCCAAGGTCGCATAGCTAGATAGTGGTGGAGCGGGGTTCTCTGATGGTAAGGCCTGTATTCCTACTATACAGACATACTGTAAGGAAGGATGTAAGACTTCCTGCTTCAGAAGGCAGCGCAGGTGCCAGGTCGGTGGGAAAATTCATTCCACAGGTGGTTCTGCCGTAAAGGCAGCCTCGGTGCAGGGAACTGGGGCACCCACATCACCACTGTGTTCCAGGGGAGACGTGGTGAACCAGGACGACCTGTACCAGGCCTTGGCCAGTGGCCAGATTGCAGCTGCTGGACTGGATGTGACAACCCCGGAGCCACTGCCTACGAGCCACCCTCTGCTGACCCTGAAGAACTGTGGTAAGAACTGCATCTTCGGTGCAGTCACCACCGCCTCGCAGGACCACAGTGGCTAGAGGGTCTGGAGGTGCTGTGTGTGAGCTGCCTGCGCTGTACGAACACAAAGGGACACACCCAGGGACCATAAATTATGCCAGGAGTGGCACTGGTCCCTAATAACAGAGGGGAGGGGCCTCCTGAGCGTGCTCACCTGTGTCCCTAAAGGAATGAATGGAGGTAGGGATGAGTGGATTTGACTGGGTGTCTTTTATCCATAGCTAGTCATGGGTAAAACCCATTGCTATAAATTGCTGTTACCAGTTTAAGTATGATAAGTCACAAGTACAATTACAATACCAGTACCTGTAACCTGGGCCAGGGGTTAAGCCCTTGGTGCAGTGTGCCTTGTGGTGCAGTGTGGACGCTGCAGGCAGCCTGGCAGGCTGGAAAGCAGGCCCTGGCTCCCTCCTGCCTTCCCAGCTGAGTGGCCTGCAGCTGCACGTCTTCACGAGCAGCAGCCATTCCTCCTGTAGTGGCCGGGGCATCTGATTTGCAGTTTTCCCAACGTGGTGCCCCCCTCAGACAAGCCACAGCCAGTCAGTGCCCCGGCCACAGAGGTCAAGTTGCAGCTCCTCAGGGGCCCTTCCTTCAGTTTTCTGTTAACAACCCCACCCTTCCCCTCCGTCCCTCTAGTACTGGGGAGGCAGATGCTTCCGGCCCAGTCTCTGTGATGTCTAAGGGAACCTCAAGCTGTTAGGTTCCTCAGTCACCTGGGGGCACCAATCAAACAGGGGCTGGGCCCCCAAAGGTTTCTGCTTCAACAGGTCTAGCATGCTCCTCACCAATGCTGCTGGGCCTGGGCCACACTTTGAGAACTACTGCCTCAGTGTCCTCTTTTTAGCCTCCTGTTAACTTCATACCTCAGTAACAGTACTTTATATTAAATTCTCTCTCAGGTGGTTTCTGTTTCCACTGTAACTGTGAGCGGTAAGGGTCTTAGGTTGTCTGGCCAGTCCTGCCCTTGGTTCATATTCTGGCATGGAAACCAGAGAGAAGGCCCTCAGCTGCCTTCCCCACAATGAATGCTGCCATTATTGTAGCCCTTGGAAGCTTTACTCTTCCTACCCCCACGCCAGCCAGAAAGGAGCATTGTGCCCACAGCCCAGAAAACGGTCCCCACCCCCGAGGCCTGGGCGTTCAGCTCAGCGCTCACACTGTGAGAACTACTTTCTAAAGGCGCTCTGTGGGAACGAGACCTCACTTGCTCTGCTGTGCTGTCCAGGGTGTCACCTCGTCGTCATTTCTGTAGATCAGAAGCCCGTGGCATCACTTTCAGGGCGCAGGGTATGGATGAGCAGTTAAATTGGCATCGATCACTATCTAGTAATGGAAGGGCTGGGTTCTCGATCAGCTCCAAGACCCCTTAGGCCGGTGTTCTTACGTTTAGGAGACACACCCCTCATCATCCTTGCATCTGGGTGTCCGGAACTTGGATTCCTGTTATTCTTACTCTGACCCTCCGCCTCAGGGAAGTGGAGTGCTGAGTGACAGGAGGGAAGGCAAATCAAGGAATATGAGGCGGCTCTTTATTCGTCTTACTGGCAAGCCATGACCCTGAAAGAAGGGCCCGCTGTAAGGCTCTTGAACCACCTTCTTAACTCCGTCTTCCTCTCCTTTCCAGTGATCCTGCCCCACATTGGCAGTGCCACCCATGGAACCCGAAACATCATGTCCTTGTTGGCAGCCAACAACTTGCTGGCTGGCCTGAGAGGGGAGCCAATGCCCAGTGAACTCAAGCTGTAGCCAGACAGGAAGCACCGAGGGCCAGGCAGACATGCCCGGGATGCTGTCGGCTGTGCCAGGCTTGATTTGGACCCACAGGACAGGAGCCATGGAAAAGTCCGATCTGGGCTGATGCTGCAGAGGGAAGACTGGTGCTGGGAGATGTGCTTGCCACTCTTGTGGTTGGAAACATCTGCGCCAAAAGTGTGTAATTGTATTAAATAATTCTCTGAGAGACTGTGTTGGGCTGTAACTGGGAGGAGCTAATGACAAGAGCATCTGCTTTACCTTTTCTAAACCAGGGCATCTGGTGACCTGCGAGTTCAGCTTCTACCTCAGTCCTTACCCCCTAGAACTTGTCCAAACCACCTTACCCCTCGTCCTCTGCTCAGATTCCTTCACAGGTCCCTCACTGAGAACGGACAACCAGAGCCCATGGGTGACCTAGACCATTGGGACAAATTAAATATACTCGGCAAAGAGAACAAGGGAAGAATAACTGGAAGTAGGTGAGTTTTTTGTTGTTATTGGAATTCAGTTCTTTATATAAAGTCCCTTGTAAAAACAACAGAATAAAAACAAGCCAAAAAGAAGGGGCAGGGCAAATATTTTAAAAAATGAAAAAGGAAGGAATAGGGGAAAAAAGGCAGAGCACTTATTGCTTCTCCTCAGCTTTCTCCTTGGTCTGGTCTTCGGACTCCTGTTATCTTCCACTGAAAGAGCTTCCAGCTTTTGCAGCCACTTCCTCAGCATTACCATTTTTGCCCAGTTTTCCTTTTTTTTCTCTCTCTTCAGTCTCTTTCCTGCATTCTTCAAACTTTGTCTTGAATTTCTGTGCATTTTTAGCATTGGGGAAGTGGATGGCCAGCTGCTCCAGCTTGGGGCGCCCGTCAGCAAAGGTGGCAGGGTGTACCAGAGCCATGCACGGTCATTGCCTGCGCTTGGCTTCAGCTCCAGTTGGCATGATACAGTGGTTGGCGAATAATTTCAAGGCCTTGTCCCCCCTCATGAGGCGGCGGATGGTCCCTTTTCCTTCTGCTCCAGAAGCTTGACATCACCGGTGCCTCGTTCCTTCCATTCTGGGAGATCATTCTCTGAAGAGAATCAAAACAGCTTTGCCCACATTTTGAAATGCTCCTCTTTGTCTTCCAGCATTTTAATTTCTTGATCAGGAAGAGAAACTATAGGCTCAAACTGAGGGTTGTGGTTGGACTCGTCTGCATTCTCGGTGGAGGTATTGTGGTCCTCATGGATGTCCGTGGCGACCACCATGGTGGCAGTGTGGTGGTGGCTTGGCTGGCTCCAGGGCCTCCACAGCTCTTAATTTTTATTCTAAAATTAGTTTTAGCACCATCACACTTGGCTCCTTTTGTCTATCTTGTCCTCATCCCCACTCCCCCCAGGTGGATGGGTGCCCTTTTCTAATCGCCACCTCACTCCTCCCAAAAGCCCTCCTCCTGCTGAGGCAGGCAGGTTCCAGCCTTCCCCACAGCCAAGCCAAACTGGCCAGTGGAGTTTTCAATCTGGGAGGCAGGTAAGGAGCAGCGGAAGCATAAGAGTGAGCAATAAAACTGGGTGGGCTGAGAAAACCTCACACATGCCCACAGCTCACAGACAGACAGAAGTAGGCAAGGCAGAAGGGACTAAATTGAAGGAATTACCAATAATGGTTATTGAGAGCATTAGATTATTTTCTAAAAGACTTGGTTAAAAAAAAAAGTATTGGTCGAAGCATTAGCAGAGAAAGCAATACTGCTTCCCTTTTTGTTTTAACCTAAGCACAGAAAAATAACACATATTTAGAGACATGAATGTGACAAAATTTTTATTTCAAAACCTCAAATTTTGACTAGCATAGCACCACTGAAATGGGTGCCCCGAAAGAACTTTATGATTTGATCATCAGAAATTATGCCAGGCTATAATTAAGGCTAACCAATCAAAATCCAGGTTAATTCAGGTAGAAATGATCATAGGATCCTTGGGACTGGTTTTCCAGGGAACCTCTGAATTATCCTATAAGCACTACAGCTTGTATGAGGACACTGGCCTGCAAGCTTGCTTCTCACATAGAAACTAACAAAGAGGTAGATGCAATTCCAGATTCCACCGAGCAGAGGAAAGGTAGGGCTCCAGCCACGGTACTGGAGACAGGCCCAGAGCCAAGTCCATGTAAGACAGATGAGGTGAGCGGGCAGCCTCCTGGCACCACCACCTCAAGAAGGAAGGGAAGGAGGGCTGCCACTGGTCTTCCCGTGTCACTGGTTCTTCTTCCCAGGCCCAGGCAAGGTCTCTTGTCCATGCTGCCTGCCAAGGTTAATCTCCTAAGACTGGTCCCCACACTGTGTAGAAGGGTGGATGTAGAGCCTCCCCGCATCAAGTCAGAACACAACTGCTAACAATTAGCCACACACACACTGAATTTCACAGGTGACCCCGTGTCCTCCAGTGGTCTCTTTCCCACGTCTGCTGGAAAGGAGAGAAATCTTAGAGTCCTCCTTTCCTCCCTGGGAATCTGTTCACAGGAGATGCCAAGCCCAACTATGAGCATTCTGAGTTTATCCAGACAGGTGTGTAACTGCACACACTAGATTAAGAGGAAAAAACACGCTGATTTTTGTTTTAGGCTACACATACTTAGCTTTCTAAACACAAAAATTGAAGGATTTCTCTCAATTATGCACAATGGTTGGTGTCTAAGAAAGCTGTATAAAGAATGAACTCATGTCCATGCATGAATGAAACTGACTTCATGAGCTCTACAGACACACAGGAACGTGTGCCGTTTCCCTGGAAGCACACAAGCCAGGGCTCAGCCTGACACAGGTGCCACCAGCAGCCCTGATAACAGGGTCAGGAGACCACAGCCTGGCTGGGGAAGTGAGGCAGAGGGACCCAAAGAGGCCCTGGACGGTGACCCAAATGTTCCTTGTAACAGTCTCAGATGCTACTTGGTAACTTCTATGTTCTGGGCTCTCCAACCCTCTTATAAGGCTGGAAAATATCGGTGAACACTGCTATGCTTGGATTTCAAACATGCAGTATTGAGCTGGGGCAACAACAAAAGTTCACATTCTATACTTTGAAAAACTATAGTATATAACAGTAATAAATCCATGGTTTTTGGTTATAACTGAAAACAGCAATCTAGGCCCTGGGAACGAAGCCATATAGGGCGAGAGTGAAAAAGCGAAGCAGAGAACAGGCGTGGCGTGTCACTGGGTAAGATGGGTCAGGCTGGACTGGCCCTGAAGTCTGGATGGAGCAAAGCGTAAATGTGCCGTGAAAGATCCCACAGAACAGGACTCCACATCATCAGAACAAAGACAAACACTAGCTCTTTTCTGACTCCCAAACGTGGAACGGTAACATGTATACAAGTTGGTTAAAATACTGCTAAAACAGCACACACAGAAACAGTACCTTACTGGTCACTCCCTACAAGTACATACTCCATTTACAACCTTGTTTTTAAAACCAGGAAAAATTGTTAAAACATCTATCCAACAGTGATGTTTTCAAAAGTATATACACCCAAAAGCCCAGAGAATGCTCGCTCTGGACCCAGTGTCAGCACCATCGAAGTGCAGTGTCTGTGACTGCAAGTCAGACAAAAATAAAAAATACAGTACTTTCTGAGGCCTAGGACCAGCTCACGATAGGCTCTACAGCATTTGTGGCCGACAGGTGTGTCGTCCTCAAGGGCCTTTTAGACGGGCACAAAGTCGCCACTGGTTACACATAGGTGAGTTTTGCATCACTGTTCAGGTATATAATATTCCCATCAGAGGGTATAGGAATTTTAATTAAATGCTTCACAGAGTTTTACAAAAATTGCTAAAAAATTTTTTTGCACTTCAATTTTTAATTTTTACATGTGCCATTTTTAACATCAATTAGAAACTACTTTCTGACTACAGTCCTCAACCCTAAGAGAACTTGGCTCGAGGGCTGCGTCCCTCTCTGAAAGCGTGCATTTCACTCAGAAATGCAGCAGCACTAGTGCTACACATATTAGTTCTCTCTGAGCCACTGAAATTGGCAAGAGCCATTGGGCAGCCTGAAGCCTCAAACCCAAGGGTATTAGCTCTCAACCAAGAGATTTTAGTTTCCTACAACTGACATCGGCATTATCTCAAGAGGTCAGGGTTAGAGCAAAGTGCTGGGAAGACTGCTGCTCTGCCAGCGCAGGCAGGTAGTCTTGGAATGTTTATACAGGTGGCTGGACTGACTGAACCTCTTGCCGCACTTCAGGCAGGCATAGGGTTTTTCACCTGTGTGAACACGGATGTGCTTCTTACAATCTGTCAAGGTCAGAAAAGTCTTGCAGCAGATTTTGCAGGCATACTTGCGAGCGCCCTCTACAACCAAGACGTTGTGCTCTGATAAGGCCTTCTTGCATTTGGACAGGACATCAGCAGAGGCCCTGGTCAGCTGTGGAGGGCCGGGCTGGGAAGGATGCCCATTTTCAAATGAGGACGTGGCCCCATTCATCATAAGCTGGGAGCTGGCAGAGTTTTCTGGGATCTGTGAGCTCCTGACAGAAGTTACAATTGGCATTTTGGGAGCAATACGGCGGTAGTATGGAAAGTTACTGGCCTTTCCTCTTGAGGAGCCCATCATTACCCTGGAGAAGGAGGAGTGGAGGCCCAAACCAGACCTGGAAAAATCCATTCCAAACTGTTCTCCTTGATAGCCTGAACTCTGCACACAGGGCAGGCCCATGGCTTCCTGCATAGGCCTCGCAAAGTGGGAGTCTGCAGGCTCACTGAATGGGTTTTCCACATGAGAGCCAGTGGCCGAGGAGGGCCCGCCCACCGGCCCAGTCTCTGGACTCAACAAATAAGGACCCTCACACTCCAGCCTGCAGTCACTAGTGGTGTTTGGAATATTATCATCATTGTTCTGATTGGCACTAAAGTTACTTCCTCTGCTCTTGTTAAGAAAATTTGAAATACTAAAAGTGGACTTATGGTCCAAGTTATTTGTGACTTCTAAAATATGGATGTCACCTACCCTGTCAGTGCTAGACTGGGGATCTGAAAAACTCCGATCACTGCTTTCAGGGCTGAGGTCTATCTTCTCAGCATTGACCACAACTCCCTCCACTTCCACAGATTCGCTGCCTTCTGCTTGTGAGGTTACGTCGCTCACTTCATCCTGAGGCTCAGGAGAGCTTAAGGGCTCAGATTTCACCACCACTCTCATGTGATCCTTCTCACCAAGGCCAACCTC